GAATGAACGAGAGAGAGAAATAAAGATAAAACGCGCATTCAATGTGTGAACAAGCTACATCCAATCTGACAAATAGTACCATCAAATGAACCGTGTTACCATAACAGACGGCATGTGATTTGAGTGGAAAATCAGTGTAAATGGAATCCGAATGTGCACACGCACACAATTTTCATCTCAGCCTCAAGGGAAATAATAAATAGAAAATTTAAAAAAAAAAAGAAAAAAATATAATTTGAACTTGACTTCTTTTTTTTTATGTATATACTAATAAATAATTACCTGTATACGAGCTTCATTTAATTTTGTTGTACGTGCTAATTCTTCACGTAAATATATATCAGGATAATGACCTTTAGAAAATGATGATTCAAGCTCAATAAGTTGTTCTTGTGTAAATGTAGTTCGATGTCGTCGACGAGCTGATGTATGATTACGTTGTTGGGTTTGTTGATGTTGTTCATGTGATTGAATAAGTTGTTGATGATTAAGAGGTGCAATTGATGATGATGTTGTTGAAGGTGGTGAAATAAATGGATGATTTATTGTCATACCATCATGTTGTTTTGTACGTTTAAATGCACCAGTATTTACTATATTAATAATAAAACAAAAAAAGAAAAGAAAGAAGAATATTTTACTAATAATTATTGTAAAAATAATAATAATTACATGAAGTAATTGTATAGTTGCTATTCTCTAACATTGTCTTGGTTTTGTATCGTATATATCCAGAGAATTTGATTATTGTGCTCTGGTAATCTTTCAACAAGATTGTCTTCTTTTTCTATCTTTTTTGTATCGGTCGGACAGCTCAAGTATTCGTCGTTCGATGAGAAGAGAGAAGAAAAAAAAACTTGCATTGGAAATGAAAAATGACAAGAAGAAAATGAAAAAGAAGAAGAAGAAGAAGAAGAGGAAAAAAATATGAATGGTTGTATAGCGGATGTGCTCCGTTCAACAGGATGATCAACAACCAATCGGCGTGATGTTTTATACATCATCATTTTGATCTTACATATTTCTACAAGTATACAAAGAATATAAAAAGAAAAACATAAGAAGAATTTAGATTGCAATCAACTATCAATTGTTAGTTTATCGAAACGAGACAACAGATAATTATTTATTCATAGATCAATTTTTTTATTCAATGAAAACCAATCTTAAATAGATATACTCTTACTTTAGTATATGTGTAGATTATATTCGAATGAATTTGATTGTATATGTCATCAGTAGTAAAAGTATTAATCTGACTATAGTTTCTGCTTTCTTCATCTATATATATGTAGTTTTTTTTCTCTTTTTCTTTCTATAAGAAGAGTGAAGTGGATCAAAATTAGATTTTTGTAGTACTATAAAATTTGATTACACTTATTGAACACATTAGTAAGTGTGAAGAAAGTAGAAAAAAGTATTTGGTTACTTGGAGAAAACTTTTTAAATCAAAAATATAAAATATGAAGAACAACAGATATTGATTATTGTTTTCTTATGTCATCAATTGTTTTTTGTATTGATAAAATGAATCAGTATGGTATAATTCTAATATCTAGCAGACATGTATTTTATATGAGAGTTAATATTGAATTAGTTGTTATTATAACAATGAAATTAACTAAGTCAGATAAAGAGAAGAGAGAAGAAAAAAAACTGATAAATTTCTCTTTTTTTTCTTTGTATCTTTTTTTTTCTTTCTTTATTCATAGAACAAAATGGCACATACATATACACAAAGGGAATATTTTCACTGTTAAAAGGTAAGACGCACACACACACACACGCACACACTGTTCAAGCCGGATAATGAAGCATTGATGAATGATCGACACGAAATGATGAGAGACTTTTGTTATACCAATCAGTATCTTGAAAAGATAATGGATTGTCCTAGAAAAATTAAAATATTGTTTTTTTGTTTGTTAAATATTTCCTAATAAATTAATCAAACCTGTCGAATACCAGCTGTTAATGGTGAAAATTGTGAATAAGCAACACCCGCTGGTGGATAACGTATTTGATTTGATACAACAGAATTTGTACCTGTATGTCCTGTACCATATTGATAAGGTCTTCCAGTTGATGTTTGATAGAAATTTCTCATCATTGCATTACATGGTGAGAGAACAGGTGATAAAGCTTTTTGTAATTGTTTTTCTTGTTTTCGATATTTAGCTCTTCGATTTTGAAACCAAACCTTTTATTTATAAAAGAAATATATCAAGTCACGTTTATTTCTTTTCTCTTGTTCGTCAATGAAACTATTCAATAATAATAAATGTTGATACATGTGTATTCAATTGTCAATGCACGAGCTAATCGATAGAACACGAGAGCGACAAGACTTGTCTTTTTCTCTCGTGTATTGATGTAGTAGTTTTCTTGTCGGTCGACTGCACATACTCATTAGAAATCTATTCTTACGCGACGACGGAGTTTCAACGCTTAATTCAATTATTAGGCTATGTGTGTATGTAGTCGGCCCGTTCGTCATCATCATCTTTTTTTTCTTTTTCGGTCTGTCTTCTATATACTCGGTGCTTCACTCGACATTTCCTCTTATGCTTGTCAATCATAAAGACATCTATGACAAGATATATATATATATATGTGCGTGTATAAAATTTCCTTTTTTTTTATTCTTGTAAACAACGAATTTATTCTTTAATACTAACTTGAATACGAGCTTCATTTAATTTTGTAATTCTTGCTAATTCTTCGCGACAATAAATATCTGGATAATGACTTTTACCAAATGCTGTTTCAAGTTCAGCTAATTGTTCTTGTGTAAATGTTGTACGATGTCGACGTCTTGCTGGTGTTGGACATTGACTTGCAGGATTTGATAATGAATGATGAGATGATTGACTTGAATTTGTTGAATGTGTTGGAGAAAGATTATTTGAATTATTATTATTATTAGGTGTTGATTGAAGGTTAAGTGATGGTACAGGAACATGTGGATAATGAGGATTGTATGGTTGAAGTTGATGATATGGATGTGCATTTAATAAAAGAGATTCATGTTTGATTTTTTTGAATGCTCCACTATCAGATTGACCTATACAGATACAAATCGAAATTATTTTTCTATATAAAATATAACTAATATTCAATAGAAACTAACCTGTTGGATTAGACATAAATTGTAAATTATTATTTGATGATTGACTCATAATATTAAATGGTGATGTTGATGATGATGACGATGGTGGGGGTGGTGGCGGAGGTTGTGATAATGTTCGATTTAGAGCATAAAAACTAGCATAGGGATCATCAGATGTATTTGAATATAATTTGAAAGGTGTTGAAACGTTACGTTTTGAATCACATTCGGTGTTGTCTGAATTTGTCATATTATTAGCTGTTATAGAAGCAAGACTTGCCGCTGCTAAACCCATTGCTGTTAAACCAAGCGTAGAAGTTGCTGGTGAAGATGTTGATATTGATGTGTCACAATCATTGCTTGTATTAACTGCATTATTGTTATTATTATTATTATTATTGTTGTTGTTAGTATTATTATTAGTATTATTAAATGATGATGATTGTGAATAGTTAGTATTGTTTGTCGTAATTGATGATGATGATGATGATATTCGATTTGTAGTATTATTGGTTAAACTTGACATTTTGCTTGTGTGTGTATATATGTTGATCAAAATTGAATTATTTGTTATTCATCGATAATGATTATTATCTTAGTAAGGAGAAAAGTGAATGAGTGGTTAAAATATGATTTGTTCGCTTTCTCTCTCTCTCTATGTGTTCTTTTTTTCTATCTATTAGTTTTTATTATATCATAATAATCATATAGTTCTAGTTTATAAGACTCTTAATTTGAGGTGACTAATTCTGTTAGGCGACAAATCAACACTTGTACTAATAATATCGTTTAGAAGAAGAAAAAAAGCAGAAGAGTAATAAATAATTGACGAAGGCAGTAAGAATATATTCGGCGGTAAAGAGAAGACGATGCACGTCCGACAAGACGAATGAGACAACTTCGTTATGGAAGAAGAGAACTCGCAAAATTTTTAACTAACGAATGAAATTTACTTCTATTAGGCTAATGTTGCTTCCACTCACTCATTCATACTCATGAACGGCATAGCTCAGAAGGCTCTTGAGAATCGATGCATTTCTTCTTTTTCTTCTTCTTCTTTTTTCTCTTCTTCTTCTCTTACTCTACTTCTGTATGTCTCGACAATGTTTTTCTCCTTTGTTTTGTGAACCAATAGAAAATCTGATCAATAAATAAGATCTTTTATTATTGGTAGAAATATTCTGATGTTACTAAAGGAAAAGAAGAAGAAGTAAAAGAAACGAGAAGAAGAAACTGTTCTGAGTTCTCCTTCTTTTTCTCTCTTTATAAAATAAAGGAAACGAAAGAAAAAGAAGAAGAAAAAAAGGATATGAAAGAATAGTTTGCTTTTGAAGAAGACAAGTGTAATATTGATGCTCATGTTCGTTGAATTATTCGAGCAGATTTCGTGCTCGTTAGGGTGCTACCGACTGACCATCGACTCTCAGATGACAACGCTGATGAACAAGTTATATTAATTGAGCAATTGCCACAAGCATTATTCTTCTTCTGTTCATCTGTCTAGCGCAATGCTTGAGGCGTAGAAGAGCTAAAGATTCTCTTATCTACTAGACCACCTACTGTGTACATTGAGTATCGATAGAAACTGCCAAATGGCAGCTATATTTCAATCAAGTAAACGAATATAAATTTATAAAAAAAAATAATATGTCTTACAACATTGTTAAATATAACAAATAATGATTACTAAGAAAATATTGATTATATTATGTAGTTTTTTTTATTTCACTGATCAAAATTGTATAAATATATGTAATCAAATAATGTGCAAACTTCTCTAAATCAATATGATAAATAGTGAAGCATCAAAAATTCGTACAATGTCAGATTCAACATTGATAAGTGAAGATCAGAATTGAATTGAATTAGTTTAGTTTAATATTGCAAAGATATTTGAAATAAAAATAAATTTCGATGTCTAAAACAACTGTTTGACATCCTTATTTTTCTTGTTATTTTATACCTCTCTAGACGAGCTTATTGATGCATTATAGGTGAATTAAATCACATATTTAATCGATCCTACTGAAATTATTTGACTTTATATCTTTTAATCAACAAATCTATTTAGTATTTGACTAACAAACAAAAGAAAAACAATGCTTGAACAAATAATATGATTAAAGGCCAGATCTATCAGGTGCTGGTTCGGCAAATTGTGGTGCCCGACGAATTTTATCTCGTTTTGGTCTAAATATATTAAAGAGATTATTCATGTGAGAAATAAAATAAAATAAAAATTTACGTTGGTTTGAATAATGCTGGATGTTCATTGAACATTTGTGAAAGTTGTTCTGTTTCCAAACGGTAATCTTTTTTTGTTACTTGTTTCTTATAAAATCGATTATCATAATCACGTTGAGCTTGTATATTAAATACACCTTCACTCTGTAATTTTAAAAATATAATTTTTTTATTCTGCTCATTTCAATTGATAAAGAATATCTTATTCGATAGTTGCAAAAATTCTAACCTGAGCAAAACTCGGATCAGTTCGATCGATAGGTTTTGTATATTCATATGGATGTGGTTTTTCTGGATGATAACAAATAATATGATTTGTATCAGGTGCCATAGCAATACATGGATTTGGTAAATTTACATTAGAATCTGATGATGCAAAAGCCGAAAATGTTGTTGAAATTCGACGTGATATTAATCTTAGACATATTGTTGTTCGATACATATTTTTTTTCTTTTTTTTTTAGTAATAAATCAATCTGGAAAAACGGGAATTAATCTATTTGTCTGATTAAAATGAGATGTATCTTATTTAGACTAAGAACAAAATAAAAGACAAAGGATAAGAATGGAAAAATATCATTTGACAATGATAATCAAGTACAACTTTAGTTTTTTTTTCTGGCAAAATTTCAAATGTTTTGAAAGGAAGAAAACAAAATAACAAACAAAAAGATATATGCGATATGTTTACATGTTTAATAGCGGAAGTAGAAAATAAATAAAACGAAGAACATGTTTCATATCATCCACAAATGAAATACAAAAAAAACAATTGACTAAGATTAAACTGTACTATATGATCATAAGTCTTTTTTAGTTGAATCTGTTGGTTTGGCATATTTATCTTTAACTTCATTAATACGTTTGATAAATTCGGATTTTTCAATAAAATCAGCTGTTTCACCCCAATCACTTAAGATCTTTTTTAAATCTTTAACTTTTAATTTGTTTAAATCAACTGAATTAACATCAATTTGTTTTTCTAGAAAAAAATAAAATATGTATTATAATAATAAGTGAAAATTTATTAAATTTACCAAATTTAAGATCACATATTTGTGGATTACTCTTTGCAAGTCTTTCTCGACATATCTTTTCAATTGGTATACCCCATGCTAATGGTTTTGATAAATCACCAATAGCATATGTTGCTGATGTTTCTAATGCACCGATATAATAACACTAAATTAAAATAAGTTTTTAATAAAAATGTTCTTGTTTTTTTTCTGATTTAAATATTTACCAATCGATGTTCTTTAGTATCAACTTTAACTTTTTTACAAAAAGTTTTAAATGCTTTTTCAATTTTTTCTGGAGAGGTTTTTTCATCATCAGCTAATGTTTCTGCAAATGTAGTGACAGTTTTTATACATACTAAAAAGAATATTTAATAAAATTAAAAATCATTATAACCATATATATATATGTCTTTCTTACCTTCACAATGTGTTTCATCAACAGGTTTTTTCGAATAAACTATCGAAAATGTAATTAGGGCAATGAAGAGGTATATGAAATATGTTATTGAGTGCATGATAGGAAATTCAATAAATGAATAGAATGTGAGAAGTGTATTTAGGCAGTATATAAAACGAAAAGTATGAGATGAATTGGATGATGTATTATTTTATTGCTAGTGCGTGGCGTGGCGGGAGTAAGTTCGACGAAGTTTTCCGTTGTCAGATTATATTTGGTTAAAGATGTACCAATACGAAACAAGAACGAATCATTTACGAATATGTCGCTAGTTTATGATTCATCAACATTGTAAGCATAAAAACTCATAGAAAAAGTAATAGCTTCTATTTGATTGATCATCTAAATGAGATTTTTCAAATTGAAGTGATCATAAATTTGAATGATGTTGATAAATAAGAAAACTTCTTTTAGATTTGTATAAGGCGATACATTCTGTCATGAATTGAATTACTTATTAGTCATATATTATCAAACACATTCCTATTGTTCGATGTATCAGGCAGAATAGTTATGCTATTTCTCTACCAAAATTGTGACTAACACTTAGGACAAGTAATATCTTCGATAGAAAATTCGAAGTATTATTACAATGTTATTATTTTCTATAGGACGTTTAATGTGCATCATTCATGGTATAAACTAAAAATATTTTTGTATGCAATTCAATCAAGATCTTTCTCTGTCTGTAGATGAATATTGTGGATATTATTTTCACATAATTTATAGATCTAGATTTTAATCTTATCTTTCCATTAAGTTTGTTGTTCGTTTTTCGATCTATTTATTTTCAATGATAGAAGTAAATATTAGACTGTCTATCTTATTCCATAATTTGTAGTTAATAGATAATCAACTAACACTTTTTTTATAACAAAATCGAAAACAAAAAAGACATAACAATAATTTGATGTTTCATTTTATTCAACATTTTACTTTTGTTTTTACATCTGACTATAGCTATATACAATGTCAAGATCGGGATCGATCTCGACGATGACGATGATCATGACCACGATTATTATCACGGCTGCGATCGTATTTACGATCACGACCACGATCATGGCCACGATCACGATCACTATCACGGTTGCGATCGTATTTACGATCACGTTCGCGATCATAATCACGGTGATCACGGCCATGATGGTCACGGCCACGATCATCACGGTACCGATCACGATCATGACGGTCATCATTATGATTATGGCGACGTTTTTCTTCCACTTTTGGTGGTTTTGCTGAAGGTGATGGTGGACGTTGTGGTTGAGCTTTTTGCGCTTTAAGTTTTCTTTGTTTCTGATCATATTTCCATTTTTCTTTTGCTACACTTTGACTAAAATCTACATGTATTCGTCGATCATCAATAAGTACATTATCCATTTTAAAATAAGCTTGTTCAGCATCTTCATTATTGTCATATTCAATAAAAGCATAACAAAGTGAATCACCAGTCTTTTTATCTCGTACAATTTCGCAACTAATAATTTCACCAAATCGACTAAATATTGTTTCTAAATCTTCGTCAGTTGTTACTTGATTTAATTTACATACGAATAAAACATTTTCTGGTGGTTTCATATCAGCCTTAAAAAAGAAAAACGTAGATAATTATATATGATATAACAAAAACAATACCTCTGGTAAATCTCCAATAAGTTCAAGAATTTGTGCTCTTGCTTGTGCTTCTTTTTCTTCAATATAATCTTTAATTTCTTCATCTGTTTTTCCTTGTATTCGATCTTCATCAAATAATTCATCAAATGCAATTCTCGATGATTTAACACGTTCAATAGTTGGTGATGGTGAACGTTCAGGAATACGTAATACTGATGGAATATCAAATGGATTCGATAGTACAACTGTATGTATAATACGTATATCATGATATGGTCGAAATTCATGATCAACAACAGCTATATTAATTTTATCTAATACATCCCAACCATCAACTACTTCACCAAAAACAGTATGAATACCATCTAATGAATCAAGATTTGGTACTAAAGTTATATAGAATTGTGAACCATGTTGATTATTTGTATTATTAACCATTGATATAGTTCCACGTTTTCGATGTTTAATTAATGGTTTTTTTTCCATATCAAAATAATTTGCTTGATCACCATATAATTCTCTGAAAACTGATTCTCCACCTCGGCCTGTTCCAGTTGGGTCACCAGTTTGTGCAATAAAATTTGTTTGAATTGAATGAAATAAACAAAAGTTATAATATTTTTGTAGACATAAATATAGAAAATTTTTACATGCTGTTGGTCGTTCTTCATAATATAAATCAATTGTTATATCACCTAATGTTGTTTCCAGTACAACAGACATATTTTTCTATTTATCTAGAATAACTAACAAACAGATATAGAAAGAAAGATTTTTTTTTTTGTATTTATTTGTCTTCATTTTATTTTATTTTTTTTTTTTGGTTAACCTTTCCTATGAGATTTTATAATTTTTTTGGGTTCATTTTTCTTTTGTTAAGTACTACAAGCGCATTTATATACAGCAGTTGAACCAAAATAAACACAGAGATAGACAAGAAAACGAACAGTTTTAAATAACGAGATACAAAAAAAGGAAAAGTTTAGGTTTTT